AAATACAATAGTAATTAAATTTCAATTAAATTCCATCTTCCTAAATGGGTAATCCACTTATTTGTAGAATCCTTGTAGCCATATCACTTAACATTTTTTAGGACTGTTTGAATATTTGGCATATTTATTACACATTTCCTACATATAGTTTCAGCTTCATTAAGATGGAATAAATTCTCCTTTGGTTCATATTCAAAGACTGATCATAAGCAAAATATGAGTGATACCTAGTTCAAATGTAGGATTGTTTGACTTGAAGGAATTTTTGTGGATGCACCAATCCTGTTTTAGATATATTTTTTCATAATAGGATAGTAGTTATTTTTCAGGGGGAAAAAAAAAGATGAAAACATCTGAATAAAGATATTGGGTGATCCTTTAAAATTGGGCTATCTTTAACATAACAGTAAAGAAACAAGGGACTTTTTTCTAAAATCTGCATTCCAGATTTCACAACTGAAACCAAATCACCATAGTCCTTTTCCCATATGCATTGAGTCCTTGACTGTATAAGATTGTTTGCCGAGGACTAGTGAACTAGAAATCAAGATCTTTGTAATCTCTTAATTCTATCATTTTAAATGATGCCAATTTGATAGAATGACATTCTCATTTTCCTCATTTGCTTCATTTTCTTCATTTGCAAAATTACTTTATGATAGTGGAGGGAAGCTGCATTTGAAGAATGTTTATTATGTGCTTTGAGATCATTAAAGCTGATATCATTTTGCATACCAAGTGGTAGTATTCATATCCTTAATATACTAAAGTTCTGATACAATCAACCTTTAAAAAATAATGTATCATGACCAACTGCTTATGCATAATTCCAGGATGTAAATGTGTCTGCAGTAATTATTCCCTCCTCTGAAATCTTGACATGAGCATTGTCTGTGCCACTCACATTGGGACTTGGTATAAGCTATTTTCTATTGTTATTTATCTTTATATGCATATGTCCTATTTATGCAAACAGATTGTGAGCTCTTGAGGCTTGGGGGGGTGTACCCCTAGCTTCTAGCGATGTGCTTTGCACTTAATGGATGCTTAATCAGTCCTTGATGACTAGGGGGATATTTGGTCAGAGACACCCCTCTCAGTCTCCTGAACAAAGAATTATTTGTGGAATTTATTCTGTGATAGGAAAGGTGCTACTATCAAAGAGGGGAACACATATCACTCATATCTCTTGCAACTTTGATAGTCTCAACATGCATTTGAGGTCAACTGGAATGGAAATAGCCAATAATATTTAGCCATCAAATATGTTTTATTGATAAGGTGTCTATCCATAGCGTAAAGTTGTGTATGGATCATTGTCATATACATTTGATTACTATTTATAAAAGATTGGCAATAACTAAATTAAAATGTCCATAGTGTTTACTCTGTGGAGTCATGAATAGTTTTAATTTGCTTTTTTGCTATCTTTATTTTTTCCAAATTCTTCATAATAAATACAATTATTCTTATAATTAGAAAAAAATGTGAAATTCTAAAAAGTTTTGTTTCTATTCTGGTAAGCCAAATTACAGAAATTTTTAATAGTTTAATGCCATTCTACATATTACTTTTCACTTAAATTAAAATCAAACACAGGAAAGACTAAATGCCAGACTGTATATTGACAAGGGCAATACTTAATTGACGATACAGAAAAGGGCAATACTTAAATAAACATAAACATTACTCATTAAAACTCCTCAAAGATGTTTAAATTAGCATAATAATATTCCATGTGTTAATTAAAGCCTGAACAACAAATTTCTTCTCTCCTCATCACTTATTGGTGGATTTTGGAGCTGGGAGATAACATGCTTCCATCTTCAGAGGAACCACAAGAAGGACACAGACCTAGGTTCCTAGCCCAGAGGAAAACTATTGTTGAAATGGTACCCAAAAGCCTTAAAGAACATATCTATTCTTCATGTTGCCCAGTGGATACATTCATATGATTTCCTAACATCCATGTGTCACCTGCAAGAATTCAGACAGATCCTTACTGAGTGTGAAAAGTTTGAGGCACATTTCCCCAGACAGGTAATTAAAGATATCTATTATTGACAACACTAGCACATTTCGCTAAGATTGCTTTGGTGCCAGGATATATCCCTTCAAAATAGGAGTTGGTGGCAAGGAGGAATTTCAAGAGATGTTTGTCTACAGTAGGCTTCGAACAAAATGGAGACCAGCCACTCTTGCCTAAACCCGTTGTGCTTGCTGTAAGTTCTTTCTTCATCCACCTCGTGCCGGCATCTGTCAGGGAAGCAAAACATGATATACCAAGAATACATTAGCATGGCTTGATATAAAATCTTTTATGCCTGTTATTAGTTTTACATCACTTTAGATTGTCATCAGGAATTGTTCAATCAAAAGGTTCAGTCAAAGCTAACAGTCTTTACTGATGTATTTTTTCCCCAAGAGTGTTGAAAATTTGATTGTTCAAACTGCAAATATGATTCAGCAAACCGTTTATCAGAAAACCTTAAGGAGGTAATGTAAAATGTGGCTAGGAAGCTGAATTAAATGGACTTGAGCAGTCAAAGACTTTGAAACTGCTTTCCTGTGAATGTCTGGGATAGAGCAGAACAAAGTCAATTACTGACTGTAATTAAGAAGTGGATGCATTTAAACTGTAGAGAGCAGTAGCAGACTTCTCCAGACTGCCTAGTAACTGGAAAGATTAGTGGGAAGACAGAGGAAAGAATGTGAACTGTATCTTTCTGATAGTATATTTTGAATGAATTGCATTCATATAGTTTCTCTGATCCAGCGTCCTCAAATGAATTCATAAATCACTGCTTATGTACGATTAATGCAGTCATATATTTGGATAAAGAAACTTTTAAAATACATTTTGTTTTTGGTTGTGTTGGCAGTAAAAGATTCCCTTTCATTGCATAGCATGCACCAAAAATGCAAATGTACTGCTGAAGTATTTACATTTTATCACTGTTTGAATTTACTGGACTGAAAACTGAACTGTGAGCTCTTTCCTAAACCCTCAGAATATAGTAAATCTAATTATGTTTGCTTCTTGTACTTTGAAATGTTTCTTTTTATAATTTTAATAATGGTTTATTTATAATGGCGGAGAAATATATTAGATTGTACATTGTGTTTGGGCTAATTCATATTTCTTTGTGTGTGTTAACAAATTGTGATGTTATTTAATACATTCATAATCAAAATATTTAAATTTAGATTGGGAGGAAGGTAGAGGCCAAGGGCATTACCGGTTTTCTTAGGTTAGTTACAAGTGACCTTATATTTCTAGATTGCTATTTCTGTGGCAACACTTTATAAAGTAAATATTTGGAACTTTATGTAAGTAAAGAACATTGCTAGGGTGTTCAGATAATTAGGCAAACATCAGCTTAACTGTCTTTTAATAGATACATAAAACAGAGGACTATTTGGAGGCTATTTTGAGCCATCCCAAATCGTACATGCAATTTTACTTAAAAAAAAAAAAAAAAAAAGAGCAATTGGCCCCGGTAGTCTGTCAAATTCTAATGTGGATAATTAAATTCCTCTTATTTTCTAATCCTTCACTTCTCATAATTGCATATACTTGGAGAGTTCCTCTCCTTACAGTTGTAAAACGTCGGAACGCATCTCACTCAAGAATGGTTGCATTGCAGCCCTGAGTGTGATGTTGCATCTCTGAATCGTTTTTTCTAAAAATAAATGATGAGAGAATATATATGTATGTGTGTAATCGAAGATTTCTTTAAAACTAGAGGATCATTGTCATTAAATATTGCCGTAAGAATCACTGAAACCTTCAGAGTGAGCTATTTTGGGTAATAATTGTCACTTTAATGATAGAATTATAGAGACATCCTAAAGCATGATTTGTGATTTTCTGAACCTGTGGGCACATGTCAGTGTTCACCTCCGATTTAGAGCAAGGAAAGCTGAGAAGAGGTGACTAGCTCCTGACTAAGTGTTTTGAAATGTCAGTCCTCTAAACCTCTGAAGCCTTGCTTGATGTGTGACAGTAGTCGGGAAATGTTCATCTTCCTGTTGAAACAAAAAGTCAATACAAAGGGAAAATCTTCACAGTTCAGATTGATGGCCTAATACAGAAAGTGTGTCCACACCCACTCTAATCAAATTCGTCTCTAAGTAGCCTTTTATGTGTGAAATCAAGAGCATTGCTCTGTTTCTATAGGGTCACATTCTTCTCTCACGATGCTGGAGAGGAAAAGATTCGCTGTAATGAAAAACATATAGTTGCATGTTAAATATTGCCAACTACTTAATAGCTCTGGGAGTCTGGAATGGGGATGTTCACTTGATAAATACTCTCCATGAGAGGTTCAAATATGTAAATAAACTTTTATTCTAATACACTCCTTTTGTGGGGGAAATTAGTCCTGTATTACTTTCCTATGGATCTTTATGATAGGAAAGTAGAAGTAGCCAAATGTTATTCATTTGAATGACCTTTTGGAAAAGTCTGCATTAGTCTCTTTGGTAAATAATCTGTTTTACAGCCCTCCATAAAAGGAAATCAAATATAGAGATACTATTAGATTTGAAAAAGACAAACAGGAAAGAGCCAAAAGTGCAGAATGAATTCTGACACACCCGGGTGCATTTTTCTTAGGTTCTGACTTAAGTGGGTACTGTCTGCATCATTCCGAACTTCCTGACTTGCTTCTCCTTGAGTTGGAGTAATGCAACTTTAGTCCTACTCTGAGTTAATCGTTCTATTATTAAAACAATAATGTATTTGTTATGACATGAAAAAACAATTTATAGAGAGCAGTTCAAAATGATCCTGGTCTCCCAGTTCCCAGAAAGACAATTACTGGAATATGAGAAAATATTTTGGTGTATTGAAGTGTGTTTTTTAAACAACATATATATATATATATATATATATATATATATATATATATCTTGGAGATATAAATATCTATCTCCCTTTTTTTTTAATGTAAGAGATCAATTTTATGTGGTTTGCTTACCTGTCGATTTTTTTTCAGATCACAACAGTATCAGGAAATGAGTTCCTTCTGCAGTCAGATATTGACTTCATCATATTGGATTGGTTCCACGCTATCAAAAATGCAATTGACAGATTGGTATGTATTTGTTTTGGCTGTTACCTTTATTAATTAAAATGTTGTCACTTAAATTGTTGCTTAGGCATATAACACACACACATTTAAATGGATCCTATAGATCGAGAGATATTAAGTTATTTTAAGTTTAAATAAAGTCCACTAAAAACCATTTCAACAGACGTGATTCGTAGAGCTAAATGTCATTTGATTTCTCTCTTTCAAATGAAAAACACAGTGCATTCATTTTTTTCCCCCGAAATAACATGGACATTCATTTACTAGAAGCTGTAAAAAGCACACAAGCACTTAATGACTACTGAGTTTTCACATTTTCAGTTTATGTTGTCTGTAATACATATTCTTGAAAATAAATATCAATGTATTTAAGCCCATACTCACTGTTATAATACCAGTAAATAATAATCCTTTATACTGATTTTCATTGTTCTTCCAGTAAAACTAGATTGTTCTTCTCATGAAAATTATGAATCAAAAACTTCATAAAATTACCCTAAATCATACATTCAGAGTATATTTTTAAAGAATCAAATTATTTAAAATTACCATTATATACTGATTCTAGACCAAACATCTAATTTTTGGACACTAATATTTGCAAAATCTTGAGGAAAAACTATTCTTGAGAGCTTTTAATAAGGTATATAATAGGAAAATACTGCATTTTTGGTGTGATTTTATTGTTATTTAATTGCAGTCTTCCTTTATATCATTTTGGGACTAAAACTTTAAAAAATAAAAAATTGACTTTTCTCCATCAACCATATAGTCCCCTTATCCAGGCATGCTTGAGTGCTCACACCCACATCCACCCACCCACACACAGAGTTTGTTGTTGTCGTTAAGAGTGGACTCTGGAGTCAAACTGCCTCAGTTTGAATCCTGGTTCCATCCTTTACTAGCTGTGTGGCCTTAAGCAAATTACTTATCTCTTTTGGCTTCAGTTTCCTTGTCTGGAAAGTAGGGGTAATAATGATATCTACCTCATAGGATTACTGTGATGATTAATTGAGTTAATACATGTGGAGTGCTTGGGGTAATGCAGAGCATTTAGTAAGTTATATATATATATGTATATATATATATAGCTATTATTAAATTTGAGCTTAGCATAGAGGCCCTGTCCTTAAATAATTATCTTAGTTCAGTCTTCCCTTTAAAATTAACATCAAAATAGATCACTAAGCTATTTGGTGAATCCTTTCTTCCTTGTAAAATTATTCGGTCCAATTGTTTGTTATTTCCAGCCAAAGGATCCAAGTGGTTCATCAAGAAACCTGGAATTATTCAAAATCCAGAGATCCTCCAGTACTGAATTACTAAGTAACTACGATAATGATATAAAAGAACAGAAACCAGAGCACAGAAAATCTTTAAGTAAGTTTTTTTTTTTTTTGCTTGCTGATTTTAACTTCGTCTAAATGCAATGCTTATGAAATATAAATGCATCAAAATAAGATTTGAGCCAAACTCATACTACTCATGGAAGATTCGTAGCCATTTCCTGGCCAGGGATTCATACACTGGAGGGCAGTCTGGGCACTTTGCTCGCATCATTGTTGGTAATGCCTTTTGAGAAAATAATTGTTCCAAGGTCATGGTCTCTGCTTGGAGCAAAGCTCTGAATCTCTGAGTAATAGCCATGGCGTTCAGATTGATGATTGATTTTGAAAGTGGGAAATGTCAAGCGTCTCCAAACCTTGGTATGCTGACTATTTGATTTCCATACATTAAAAGATGTATGAGTGACCACCACAGTTGGCCCAACTTAAACCAACAGGCTATGCAACTTTCCACACTACCAGACCACCAGAAAGATTTAGAAATGTGGGTTATGAATTATATGTTCTCCGGGGTCACATCAAATTCTAATATTCTGAAAAAAGGGAATTTGGAGTAAAAAAGACCAATCTCACCATATAGTGCTCTTGAGTATAACTCTCAACCTTGCCCCACTCTTTCCTCCTCAACAAAAGGAGATTATGAAAAGGTGTCACACATATCTCACAGTTGGTTTGGATTTCGGCCTCCTGAAAGGTATCTCTGAAATCAAAGCAGGTGTCTCAAGTCAAAGCAAACCAATTTCCCAAAGTCTCAAAAATTATAGTACCATTCCTGGATCACCTACTCTCAATCACTATTTTTTATGTCCTCTCCCTCTGATCTAAGATCAGTATAGTTACATTCTAGATTTTTGAATTAAAGAGAACTCCGTAAGTAGAGAAGGGCTTCTAACAGAATATTTACACGTGTACATGAGTACATGTGCTAAATGACTATCTGTGTATATGCATAAATTTGTGTGCATTAGGGAAGACTATATGTATATACACACATATATATGTATGTATATATAAACATAGATGCACTCTCGCATGCATATAACAAGGAAGAGAGAAGCTATTTATATATAACTTATCTTCCAGAGCTAAATTATTGGGATCTTAAAAATCTAGAAATAGCATGACAACTTTGAGTAGAAGCACCCTTTCAAAATTAAGTCATTATTCAAGAACTCATACCATTATTTCAACAACTGCTAGAAACACATTTAGCGAACCAGTTGTGTTAAGTTGGTGTTTAAAATGATCAATGTTAATGTCTTAATCTGTATGGTGCTTTGCAAATCAAGTTATTTGCAGAGAGTTAGCAATGCCATTTAAAAAGATTGTTCCATAAGGTGGTACAGTTTGGAGTTATCTCATTTGAATGTTTCCCTTTAATTCCTGGTCATTGTTCCCCTTTACTTAACATAGGATCAAATTTAAGGTAAGATTTTAGAATTAGAATTCAATTGTGTGTATGTTAATGTTATGTGAGTATGTTAATGTTAATTATATGACCATTGTTTAGTGTATATATAATAGGATACATGAAGCAATGATTAGTAGAGGTTTGGAGGATACCTTAACCTGCTTCTAGAGCCTGAAGGTTGGGAGAAAATCAAGATTTGTAAAAGTGTTTGAGAAACATTGAAGCAAATGGATTCTGTGTTCAGCGATAGTCCCTTGAAATGTTTTAGGATGATACTGGGGAAAAAAATCTTCCTACAGATAGAATACCAGCTACTCCTATTTGGAATTTATTTTTGGGGCGCCTGGGTGGCTCAGTTGGTTAAGCGACTGCCTTCGGCTCAGGTCATGATCCCAGGGTCCTGGGATCAAGTCCCACATCCGGCTCCCGGCTCAGCAGGAAGCCTGCTTCTCCCTCTCCCACTCCCCCTGCTTGTGTTCCTGCTCTTCCTGTCTCTCTCTCTGTCAAATAAATAAATAAAATCTTAAAAAAAAAAAAATCTAACATTAAAAAAAAAAGAATTTATTTTTGACTGGGAAAGACAATTATTTGTGTATTGGAGGCTTAAATTCAATCCTGCCTAGAGACAAGGGAAGAGGCATATGATTTATCTACTCATTTTAAAATGTACCTAATTCTCTAGGGATCTCATAGTCACTTTTTCCTTTGCAGTTTAAAAATAATGACAAGTAGCCACCATTGAGCCCTTGCTTTTCACCAGGCATTGTTCTAAGTTTTCATTAATGTTGACTTACCTAATCCTCCCACTAACCCAACGGAGCAGGTGCTACCACTAAACCTATTTTATAGATGAGAAAACTGAGGCATGGAGAATTAAGGCCATTTGTACAAAGACAGGTTATGGAGACAAGTTTCAAACCCCTGCAATTGGAGATAAGAGCCTATGCTTTACCATTACACTACAGTAAAGTGAACAAATAAAAGGTAAACTTAGTTTATATCAACTTTGGACTTGGGTGGAAATATTACATTAAAAATGAGATGCATCGAAATCAGTAAACTTAAATAGGAACCCAAAAACATACTAGCAAAAGAACTAAAACCAAATGTCTCTGGAGTTTGATTTTACTATTAAAATAAAGGGGTCATTTAGTCTATGATATTAGCCCTAATTTTAGAAAATGCTTCATTTCCATTTTTTTTAAAAGATTTTATTTATTTGACAGAGACAGACACAGCGAGAGAGGGAACACAAGCAGGGGGAATGGGAGAGGGAGAAGCAGGCTTCCCGCGGAGCAGGGAGCCCGATGCGGGGCTGGATCCCAGTACCCTGGGATCATGACCTGAGCCGAAGGCAGACGCTTAACGACTGAGCCACCCAGGCGCCCCTCATTTCTATATTTTGATGGGTATTTATAGTTGTAAGCCCTTTTTAAGTCTTAGTATTTTTTTTTTGCAATGTAGGATATAGTTAATATCCATCTATTACTTAAAATTAAGTTCTTTCACTATTTATGTATTGATTTTCATTTGAAAGGCATAATGATAGACACACCCACAGAATGTCAAATTAGATTATGCATTTGAAATAATGATTGGCATATTTTATATTTGATGCTTTATAAAATATTTTTTCAAGTAGGAAATATACTGTGTGAAACCCCCTCTGATCTCAGTCCTAGATTTGAACACCCAAACTGAGATTCTTAAAACATGCATTCAGTTTTATGTTACCCTCTTGGGATTAAATAATTATGTGGAATTAGAGATTCACAGTATCTCCTTTCTTATTAGTAGTCTAAGCACAAACTTTATAGTCAGTTTGCTGCTTTTGGCTTCCTGTGCCCTTGATGTTCCCATGAGTTTTGTCGCCAAGATTGTAGACAGATAAAGCCAGAATTACTTTTTTTAAAGGCATGTGAACATCATTAGCAGCTAACAGGTGGTCATTTCATTGTCCAGTTTCTCTGGGTAACATGGGAAAAAATATGTACTCTCAATGAGTGAACTGTGAAAGTTAAGTGCTTATATACTTTCCTTTTTTAAAATATGATTCTAACCTGCCAACATTATTAAGGACTAATCAGATACTTTAAGATATCAGTTGAGTCTAACAGACAAGAAGCCAGAAAATTCAATGTAAGGGCCAAATTACTGTGGGAAATTCAGGACACCAGCATGGGATGAGAGTGGGAGAGCAGCTCTCCAGGGAGGGTTGTTAATGGAAAGTGGAGAGTCAATCAAAGAAAATACTAGCATATTTTTTCCAAGGAAAGAGAAGTATCTTCCACTGATGGCAAAGAAGAAAGGCCTAAATATAAATCCTGCATCAGATAACCTTGGAGAGGTTTCTTAACTTTTCTGAGCTTTATTTTGTAGATCTATAAAAATGGGCCTAATGCTGTCCTTGCAGGATAGCATGAGAATTTGAAATTAGACATGTAAATACTTAGCTCACAGCATTTTCTCAATGAGTAGGAGCTCTTATAATTATCCTCTGTGTCCCCAAGCAGATGGTACCAAAATGGGGCATGAACCTAGGGTAGTGTCTAATGGAAGAATGGAGAAGGGCCTATATACTTGACACCCTCTCCCTAAGTATGAGAAAATAGGGGGAAAGAGCCAGAATTGGATATGGGAGTCATAACTACAAAACTCTAAATATGAGCAGCTGGTCTTTCTCCTGGCGACTCTCCAGGTGAAAATGGCAGCCAGGGCATTTTGGGGAGTAGCACACCAGGAAATAATAGAAGGGAGCCAAGAGATACTCATGATTCTTTTATGCCCAGAAGAGCTGGTCATGAAGAGGTTCCTATTGATGGAACGGATTCAGCATCTAGCCATTTCGCTCTTCCTTTAGGCATAGCTCTAGTTTATTCATTCACTCATCTATTCATTCTTTTTCATTAATGGATATACCTGAAGGTACACAACTGAAATTCGTGACTTCACTCATTTGCACTTTCAATTTCTAAAAAAATATTTTGTATTTGGGTTATGCTTTAGAAGTGGTATACCACATGCTGATCAGGTGCTAAACTGTAAAATCCATGCGTGGAGACCTTGGATAACTTCTATATAAAATTGACACTTTTAGCATTATAAATAAGCACCCCAAAATAAACATGAACTAGAAGAATAAAATCAAAAAGTGAGAGAACTGAAAGAAAATGAGTTTTCTTTTAGCTGTCTTTCAATGAAGTTTTCATAAACAGCAAATGTTTTCAAATATCCTGAAAGTATTTAGATATGGGTTTCCCAATTGCATCTCCCCTTAGTAGGGGTGTGCGTACAAGGCTACAGGGATAAAGACAGGAATGGAAAAATTAGGATGAGATATTCATACAATATAGAAAATGAAAATACTTGTGAACCTTTAATAATATCTTCATTTAAAAATGTGTCTGCAAAGTAATCATGATCATGCCAAGTGAAAACAAGTCTGATAGAGAAGGCAATTATTTTTTGTACTAATCTAAATAATTATAACACTGGTCATCCACAACTGTAAGTAGATTACGTTCTCAAAATCCAGCTGTAAACTGGTTGCTTAGATCTCACTCAGCACACTTTCATAAGGAAACCACGTACCAGCCACAAAAGCACACTTTACCCTTATTGCA